ATATATATATATATTTAAAATGACATTTTATTTATTACGATCGTATATATTTATATTTAAAAAAATTTGTTTCAATATCGTGTAAAATAAATCATCGATATAAATCGAATATTTTAATTTGTTTCGATAATCATATTGTGTGTTACAGTATTTATTCAAGATATTAAATATTAATTTTCATGTTAGAAAATTGTGAATACGATAAAAGTGTCATCGGTCGAATAACAAAAAAAAAAAAAGAAAATAAAAAACGAATTTGATCGTTCGTTTCAAACAAATTCCCACGATAAAAAGATAATACACGAGTAGTTATAATAGTAGTAGTAGTAATAGTAGTGGTAATCTACATCCAAGAGATATATCTATGTTTCTGGTTTTGTCATTAACGATGAAGCAAATAATATACGACATTATACTAGGTAACAGTTTAACTATCAAGCTTTAAAAGTATTACGATCGCGAAACGTAAGTTAAACGTTACTGAAACAGCATATTAAACATAGATTAGACTCCCACAATTTCACTTTGAGATCATTTTATCATTTAACATTATTATAGATACTACCACTGAACTGTACTTATATGAGTTAAATGTTTCTCGTGACTCAAGAAGAATCAACGTCGGTCGGTGTTTCTAAACATTTACATTTTTATCTGTCAAAGATAAAAAAGAAAAAACCCCACACACACGTACTCACTTTTTTGTACGTCCTTTTTTTTATTGTATTCAACATTCAAAGAATTAAAAAGAAAGAACAATTAAATATTTATATTTTATTTAATTTGTAAGAACGTTGGGGGTGTGTGGGGAGGTAAGGTAGGGGTATACATTAAAGAATATATTTTTATATATCAATAAGAAAAAAAATAAAAATAGATAAGGAGTGGGAGAGATAAAGGATGGCTTTTAATGATATTCAACATATCGAACTGGTAAATGTAACATGGTGTCTACAAGTGTATGGATATTTTTGGACATCGCATCTGGTTGAACGCAAATCTTGAACGTCTTGACTTTGGAACTTCGTCAGTCTTCGTTTGCTCTTGCTAAGGTTGAAATCCTTAAGATTGTATACCCATTTCCTTCTACTTTTTTTTATTTATATATATATAAAATAAAATTAATATAATACAACGATTATCTAATGGCAAATCATACGGCACGGTCAGGTAGTTGTTTTTTTTTTGTATGGTCTCTTCTTTTATTTTTAATATATACCCAAATGTTTATATTTTATTATTAAGATATTTTATTGAAGAAAAAGAAATAATAATAATAATAATAATTATAGATATAGTGGAAGTTACTTTCCAAGCTTATGCGAGACAACAATCAACAAACGAAGAACCAACGCAACGAAGATGTTTTCATTTAAAAATTCGTTTTGTGTTAATGGCAATAGTTTCATTAGTGGTTGCCTCATTCATTATATATTGGTTTGTTAATTCAATTTTGGTTAGTCGTAATGAAAATAGACAACATGATCCTAACAAACATCGTTCTGTTTCGAGAAAACAATCTTATCTTGAAAGACTACCTAATCAAATTATACCATTGGAATATACGTAAGTAAATATATTAATAAAAAGTATATAATATATATTATGTATATATTGGTAAAAATTAATATATGATCGAAGAAGAAATAAAATTATAAACGAACAAAAAAATAATATATATGTATATGTATATGAGTTTATAATTATGAAAATAGTCTAATTGTTGGTTAATTGTATCCTTTGTTTTGAGATATG